CATGCTCCCGGCGCCCCGCACCAAGATGGCTGCTGCGCCTGTTCGCACGGCGGCCGCGAGGCGGCAGTTGGTGGGCATGCTCCCTGAGTGCCCCGCACTGGCATGGCTGCCGCCCTCACAAGACTGGGTCTAATTCTCGGCTTCCGGTCGTAGCCGGCCGGCGCTCATTTCTCTTCTGGAAGCTTAGTGGAGCCGGGGAAAGGTGCGGGGTAAACGGGGAGAGGGAACTGCGAGCATCCGCGCCGGCTCCTAACGGAGAAGATGGCTGAGGGCGAGCGGCAGGGGGCGCCTGGTAGGGCGGTTGGAGGCCCCGGCGTGCGGTAGGAAAGGGGTGTGGCTCGGGGGGGTCTCAGGAGTGTGGCGACACGGAGAGGCGTCGGAGGCGACGCTGTCGGCCTCCGAGGAGTTGAAGGCCCGGAACCCAAGCTGCAAGCGGATGGCGGGGAGGGCGACCCGACTTGGGGAGCCCGGGGCTGACTAGGGCCGGGCAGGCAGAGCGGTGGGGAAGGGCAGAGCGTGCTTAGGTAAAGCTCTTGACCTGGTGCCAGAGTTGCCTGGGGTCGGGGGCGGGAAGGATCTAGGAGGCTGCCTTTTTTAACGAGACTTTGCTCGAGTGGGCCTGCGCCTCGCTCGCTCCCAGGCCAGCTTCCTCCATGCATGCCCTGCCCACCCGGCATCACCTCCCCTCCCCTCCCCTCTCTCCTGTTTCAGTATCTGCAGAGTTGAGAGAAACTACCCGTGGTGTCTAAACCACTAATTTAAAAAGGCTGTCTGTGCAAGATGAGAGGGTTGGTGGCATCACCGTCTGTTAACTTTTATTTACACTGTGGCCTCATTGCAGTTCGTCTCGAGTAACTAGGGCAGAGGTACAGGCCGGTTCTTCCAGTAGAGACCCCCTTTCCTGGAGAAGATAGCAGTTTGTTGACTCCATGGAGTTAAGAAGGTCAGGAAAATTCTTACAGAGAATGGATAGTTTGGCTTAACACAGCGTTTGGTCATCCTTCTGCCGCGCTTCATAGTTTGTGGTCCCAAACAAGGTCTCAATAGGGAGACATTTTGAAAATCAAAAAAGGTGCCACTTCTGTGTCCCCCCCTAAAATAGATGAGCACAGTGGAATTCGAAACCAGACATTTATTTTACATTATTCCCAAACCTCTGTGAATGTATCCTAATCGGTTCTGGTGCTGACATCAAGAACTACAAGTGTCCCTGAAGATGAGTAGGGGAGAGACATGGGGACCAGAACCTGTGCACTGGGGCAGACAGGACCTCAGGGAGGTCATCCTGGAAACTCGGGTCCCTGGAAAATAGTATTTATGTATTTGAAGGCAGGGTCTCATTATATGTATAACCTTGGCTACCTTGGAACTCACTAGGTAGACCAGGCTGGCCTTGAATTTACAGAGATCTGCCTGCTTCTGCCTCTGAGTGTTGGGATTAAAGGTGTGTGCCACCATAACTCCCAGAAGAGTTATTTATTTTTTAAAATTAATTTGGTCAGCTTTAACTTATGTTTTAGTAATAAAGCAGATTTGAGTACGTGTGAAGGGCCGAAGTATGGGCAGCAATGAGAGTAGCACCTGGGGGCCAAATAGGAGTTTTTAGATTAACTGGTAAGAAATTCTGTAAAGTTATGGAAAGTTTTGAATTACACAGGCTAATATGGCAAGTCACAACTTCTGTGTCCTTTAGTAGACTGAAAATGACGACACTATGGCTCAGCAAGTAAAGGTGTTTGCTGCCAAGCCTGGCCACCTGAGTTCCATCCCTGGAGCCCACAAGGTGGGAGGGTAGAACTGACTCTTGCTTGTTGTCCTCTGACATTTACATGAACTCTGTGGCTTTATACACACATGTGCATTCTCTCTCTCTCTCTCTCTCTCTCTAGAAATATAATTTTAAAATGAGGTTATCCAACTTTCCTCTTGGAGTTCTGGTATATGGGCAGTCAGAAGTGAGCAGAGTGTGGGGTGTGACAGGTACATGGTGGATATAAACATGTCACATCCAAATGAGAGGTGATAATCCAGCACACTGTCCAGGGGCAGGTTGTGGGTATTTTTGTCTCTTTTCTTTTCTTTTGTTTTGAGACAGGGTACCCTGTGCATCTCTAAATTCCTGACACTTTTAATTTCCTCATGACTTCTCCAGGCAGATTCTGTTCCTCTGCACATGCCACATACACAGAACTTTCCTAGGATTAGAACTCACTTTGTAGACCAAGCAGACTGGAACCGAGATCCATCTGCCTCTTCCTCCTGAGTGCTGGGTTTAAAGGCCTTCACTCCTACGTAGAACATGTACTTTTGATACACGGTCACTGGCCCTGACTACCCTGGAAATCATCTTCTAGTCCTCTTTAAGAGCTGGGGTTGCAGGTGTGGGCCACCATGTTCAGCTGTTTTTGAGACAGGGTTTCCGCTGTGTGGCCATGGCTGACTAGAATTGGGGGGGGGTCCTCCTTCACCCACCCACTGAATGCTGGGTGATGTGCTACTGCACCCGGGCTACTTTTGGGTGTTTTTCAAGAAACATCTGTAAAACTCTTCATGTTTTTATCTTAACTGTCAATGCAGGGGATCCAGTGTTTCTGAGTCCCTTGCTAGAGGCAGCCTGGGACTGGAGAAGCTGTGGGTGTGCTCTCTCTTATAGTCTTGTCTCTGAAGTCTTACTAGTTTTTGTTTGCTTGTTTGGTTTTGATCTGGGATTGTATATTCTGTTAACTCTGTTTCTTCAGGGACTTACTGTTTTGCTTCATATAAGGTGGCCTCTGCCCTTGGGGTGTAGCCAGGCCAGGAGGCCTTCTTTGTGAAATAATGTCTGGAGGGCAGCTTGTTGCAGAGAATAGGTCTCTTACGAGAGGGCTAGATCCTAAAGATCATCTGCAGGTTGGTTATTTGGAATGAGGAAGACATTTTCCCATAAAATGTGTCCCCATGAACAGTGGTTGGCTCACGAGACTAGCTTCACAGCTTTTCCTTTCTCATCTTACTTGGATTAGCAGTCCACTATTAGGAAGTGCCTGGGGTGGGGCTCTGGAAACTGTCTGTGTGAGCTGGGAGGAGTGGGAGGGAGGGGGAAGCTTTGACTCCCTGCATGGCCTTTCCCCTTCCCTCACCCTCTGCTTTACTTTTGAGTTCTGCTAAGTCTGAGAACCTTATCTTGCGCTTATCTCATTTTTTAACCCTCCACTTTGGTCTCCAAATCCCCTAGCACTTAAGTTTTCTCAGGACTTCTCTAGGCAGGCTCTGTTCCTTGCATGTGCCAAATCTACAGAACTCTAGAGGCCTCTGGATTTTTCTGCATACAGTGATGGCTAGGTTTTAGAGAAGGCATCAGGGCAGGTTTGTGTCATGTGGAGCCTCATCATCTTTCACCTTCCTGAGAGTTGCATTTTCAAATGCAACTTACTGAACCACCACATCTCAAATTGCAGACTCAGGCTTTAAGTCTCTCTCTCTGAACCCCGTGACAGGTGTGTTTGGAATTCAGCTTCTCATGTTTACAGAAGTGTACTCCTAACTAACCCAGCAAAATCTTTTCTGCAGTATATAAATGCCTTCACTAAGCAGGCACTCAAAAGCCTACGAATGTCTGTATATTAGTCTATAAACTTATTTCAAAATAACTTTGGGAGTCAGGCAGTGGTGAACCCCTTTAATCCTAGCACTTGGGAGGCAGAGGCAGGTTGATCTATGAGTTCGAGGCCAGCCTGGTCTACAGAGCTACACAGAGAAACCCTGTCTTGAAAAGTCAAAACAAAAACAAAAACAAAAAAACATAATTTTCAAAGCAGAAGGCCCTTATAAGGTCACCTTGGAGGTGACCTTTAGGAGCTTTGCTGTTAAACCCTGTAGATTAGTAGTGTGAGTTGTTTTTACAGGAGTAGGATTATACTAAAAATTGACTGTTTTTTACTTGTTAATATGTAGATTGCTTTCCTATGCCTGTGATATGTTTAAAGTTATGAAGAATAAGAAAAAGCCATGTGGTAGCTCATGCCTGTAGTCCTAGCAATCAGGAAGGTGAAACAAGAGGATCACCATGAGTTCTAGGCCAGCCTGGGCTACACAGTGAGTTCCAGGTCAGCTTGGGCTACACAAAGAATTCCAGGTCAGCCTGAGTGACAGTTTGGAACCTTGTCTTAAAAAAAAATAAGCCTGGTGGTGGTGGTGCCGCCGGTGCACGCCTTTAATCCCAGCACTCGGGAGGCAGAGGCAGGAGAATCTCTGTGAGTTTGAGGCCAGCCTGGTCTGCAGAGTGAGTTCCAGGATAGGCTCCAAAGCCACAGAGAAATCCTGTCTCTAAAAACAAAAAGAAACAAACAAAATCCACAGAGATTGCTCAGTGGTTAAGAGACCTACTGCTCTTCAGAGGACCTGGGTTCTTAGTTCCTAGCATCCACATGGTAGCTCATAGCAGTCTTAACTCCAGTTCCACCTGTGTACATTTTGGCAAAAAAACTCATACTCATAAAATAAAAATAAATCTTGAATAATAACAAAAGAAAACACAAAAACAAGCTGGGCCTGGTTGGGCACAGCTTTAATTCCAGCACTCAGGAAGCAGAGGCAGGCAGATCTCTATGAGTTCAAGGCCAACCTGGTCTACAGAGCAGAGTTCCAGGACAGCCAGGGCTACACAGAGAAATCCTGTGTTTGTGTGTGGGTGGGGGTGGGTCCTGATCAAGAAGGGGGTAGGCAGAGGGACATGGATGACAACAACAGCTAAATAAAAAAACACAGAAAAAGGGCTGGAGAGATGGGTTAGCAGGTAAGGGTGCATACTATTTTTGCAGAGGATCTGAGTTTGGTTTCTTGTACTCAGGTTGGATGGCTCACTACCATTTGTAACTCTAGCTCCAGAGGATCCACTGCCTTTGACCTCTTGAAGACACCTAAACACATGTACATATATCCATATACAAAAGCATGCACAGACATCCCCATACACCTAAACATAGTTAAAATAAATATAAATTAATATAATTAATATAATATCTTTTAAAAATTAATAGTCCAGTCCTATGCCAGTTCCCCCGTTGATAGTGGGGAATCAGTGATCTCTCACAGCTCAGGTCAGCTGGTTCTGTGGGTTTCCCCATCATGGTCTTGACACCTTTGTTCATATTATCACTCCTCTCCCACTCCAGGAGGTTGACCCCGTGGTTAGTTATAGATCCCCGAATCTGCAGCTTCTCTGGGTTTGTGGATTGTAGGCTGATTATAGTTTGTTTTATGTCTGGTATCCACTTATGAGTGAATATATACTATATTTGTCTTTCTGGTTTTGGGTTATCTCAGGAAGGTTTTTTCCTAGTTCTGTTCATGCAAATTTTAGGATGTCATTGTTTCTTACCACTGAGTAGTACTCCACTGTGTAAATGTACCACATTTTCTTTATCCATTCTTCAGTTGAGGGACCCCTGAATACAGGTGACAGTGGTGTGGCTTGGACAGTATATGAAGCCACTGGCAGTGTGTGACCAAGATCTAACTATAATGCATAAACTGACGTTGTGGAGCCCATTCTCTATGGAGAGATACCTTGCTCGGCCTAGACATGTGTTGGGGGGGGTGCCTTGGTGCTGCCTCAACAAGGTGATGGGACAGACTTAGTTGACATCCTAGGAGAGGCTTTACCCTCTCTGAGGAGCAGATGGGGGGAAGGAGGGGAGAGCAGGAGGAGAGGAGGGAGGGAGAACTGGGATTGGAATGTAAAAAATAATAAAAAAAAATTTAAAAAGAACTACCCAGTCACAATTGTTTTGTTTTATTTTTTTATTTTTATTTTATTTTATTTTATTTTTTTTGAGACACCGTTTCTCTGTGTAGCTTTGGAGCATTTTTATTTTATTTTATTTTATTTTTTTTGAGACACCGTTTCTCTGTGTAGCTTTGGAGCCTATCCTGGCACTCGCTCTGTAGACCAGCCTGGCCAAAATCTCAAGAAGGGAGGATGGGTCCGAGGGGAGGAATTATTTACCTGTGTGCCCTTTCATTTTCTTTGTCAAGATTCTTCAGAGGAGACCCCTCCAGCTACTCAGAACTTTATCATTCCAAAAAAGGAGATCCATACAGTTCCAGATATGGGCAAATGGAAGCGCTCTCAGGTACGAGTGGTACCCACATTAGAGGGTTGGAGCAGGGGTGAGAACTTGAGGCTTTTCGGTAGCTTTCTAGGCAGGTCATGGTTATATGCCCCTCGCCTTTCCTTACCTGAGCTGTCGGTACTAAGGAAAGGAGCTGAGAAGGTAGCTGTCTCCCTCCCTCCCTCCCTCCCAGTCAGTGCACAGGGTTGCTTTATCAGGACGGTCTGGCTGGGGCCCTGGTAAGTCTGGAGCGTCCCACTCGGGTTAAATCATTCATTTCTCCTTTAGTATTATACTGGATGAGCATGAATCTCCTAACTCTTGCTTGCAAGAGCCTACACACGTAGGAGCTAGAGCAACGGGGAGAAGAGACTAGCTTGTGGATACCTGGGCCAGGAACATGACTGCCCTAAAAATAGTGGGAATTGAGATCCAGGGCCCTGGCAGTAGGCTGGCTTTTTCTGCTTCTCAGCCCAGATGGTGGGCAGAAGAAAGCTAGTTGTGCCTCTTAGGCTTCCAGCCCAGAACTGAAGAAAGGAAAGACCACTTGGAATTCTTAGAGAGGGCCTTGGGCCCAGCTCCAGTCAGGCACTAATGCCAGCTTTGCATCTGCCATGGAGAGTGTCATTTGCACAGAAAACAGGCACAAGGGCCCTTGCTTGTGTGACAGATTGTCCATGCCAAGTCTGCCACACTTAAACTGAGCAGCCATATGCTTTTACTCCATTGGGTGAGAAGGGTCACAGGAACCTGTCCCTCCCTTCTTTCATAAGCCTGCCCTCTGGCATTTGCAGATGGATATCATGTCCTTTTCTGAGTTTTCACCAGGATAAGCACCTTATTCCTTGAGCTGCTCAGAAGCCATGGATGGAGCCTTTCATCATCTCAGTTGCTCTATCTCTGCGTTTCTCAGTCTTGTAGGAGGCAGTCCTTGAATGGTAGGCTCTAACCCTGGCTCTGCCCACTAAGTATCACTAGACGCTATCCATTGCCTCCCAGCAGAGAGACTGTTCTTATCTGGAACTAATGTGTTTGTCTGAATCCTTGTATAACACCACCTTTTGCATTCCATGGCAAACACTGGCTCTGGTCAGGACAAGGGCTTGGTCCTGTCTTCCTGCGTGGGCAAAGTTTTATGCTTGATTCCCCTGGCCTACTGGAGGCCATCTTGCAGGCTGATGGGGAACTCTAGTGTAAACTCACCCACTCTAGATGCCAAATGTTTGTTCTCATGGCTTATCATGGATGAGGAAGAAAAAAGTTAAGGGGGGAAATGAAGAAAGAAGATGGAATGGAAGCACACTTGCTCTCAGAAACTGCTTTCCCCAGGGGCCTGCGTCTCTGTGTTTTTCTCCCTAGGGTAACCCTGCAACCCGGCAGGAAGGAAGTCCAGTTGGAAGTGGGGCTGGTATGCTAGCAGACCTGTCTGTAGTCAGGAAACAGCACCTGCTGGAGGCAGAGATTCTGTACTGTAGCTGCCACCCTGGGGAGATGCTGGAAGATGACCTGGGGAAGGGAATGTTGGGTCATTCCTTGAACTCCTGCTGGTACAGACAGGGTAGTAGTCAGACATTTAATGGTTACTCAGCTGTAGAGTTAGGCTGGCAGGGTCCTAGCTCTGTGTTCAGTGAAGTCTTGGTCCTGGAAAACCATGGGCAAATTACTTTTTCCCTTGAAGTCTTGGTTTCTATGTTAGTAAGATGGTGACAATTATGTCTTCCTGTAGGACTGTCTAAAGCACTGGTAAGCACACAGTAGACCTTGGCTAGGGGTTGAGTGTGGTTGTGATCACTGCATGGCTTTATGGGTGGGGCAGATTTGTGTATTTGGTGCTTTTGGTGCTGTCTGGGTTGGGAGTGGGAGCTGGGGCAGCTGGGGTAGCCGAGATCTGACAGTCTTCCTTCCCTTCCCTCCCTGTTTGGCAGGCATATGCTGACTACATCGGCTTTATCCTTACCCTCAATGAAGGTGTGAAAGGGAAGAAGCTGACCTTCGACTACAAAGTCTCTGAGGTAGGTACAGGCGAGGAGCCTGCTGCAGGGCCACATGGGCTGATCATCCATGGCAGGCAGGTTGCAGACAATGGTTTGCCCCAGCATAGTGCAGTTAGCATTTGTGCTCCATACGCCTAACGTTTTAAATCTATGAGTAAAATAATATTTATAACTGAAATCAATGTAAATATGCATTCTAATTGGTATCTTTATGAAACTTGAAATTAAAGATGGCAAAAGGGACTGGAGATGTGGTCAAGTGTTTGCCTCACATATGCACAGCCTTGGGTTCCATGCCTAGAGCTGGAAAAAACAAACACAAAGGCAATGGATGAGATTTGTGGAGAGATCACTAGCAGAAACGTGTGGCAACAATGAAAACCAAAACAAGATTAGGTCGCTAGTTCTTTAGAATATCCAGCACATACTGGACATGTATAGGCCCTGAGTTCAAATCCCAGCACCACAACTCCCAGAGCAACTCTGGTAACAGTGCACACACATGCCTCCTGTCTGTTGGCATACTGGCCACACCATTGAGACATTCCCTTTTGTTTTCACAGTCCTGTATCCCTAGGCACTGCTGCTCTGAGCATCTGACAAGGAGATGTATAGACCCTATTTCCTCAGGCTTCATTCCCAGTAGAAACACCACTGAGCAGAGAATATGGGCAGGCTCGTGCTTTAGGGTTCCCCGTGTGTAATAGGTGCTCTGATTGTTTTAGAGACAGACTTGATTTAAGAAAAGGCATGGGCTAGGAACAGGTGGCCAGCCACCTCTACCCCTGGAGGGTTATAGTCTGCCATGCTGCATGCTGTGGCAATGCCATCTCCCAGAACTAGGGCCCAGGCCTCCAGTGGCCTCTTGGGTTCATGTCCCAGTTGGCCCAGAGCCACCCTGAGCCTCTTATCTGAGACACCAGCGGCTGAGTGGCCTCTCAACACTTTGGCTTTCTGCCCTCTAGTTACAGCTGGGGCCTGTTGGGTAAGGTCTAGCCTTGTCCTGGCCTAATTTCTTCATCTATCCTAGGTTGACATTGCCCCTTTTTAGCCCTATACCAGGTCCCTGGTACAGCCACTTCTTGGCCCTTGTTGGCTGCTGGGTGACATAGTCTGGTTCTTTCTACTATAGGTGGGACCTAGGGCTGCACTGGGAGAGACAGCTGTCCCTTGAGAGCTAGCCCACAAGTGACTCCTTGGGTTGGCTCTTCTTGGGCTGTGGCTTTGAGCACAGGATGGCTGGGAGGATGAGTTTAGCAGTGCCCAGTGTGCTGGGAACATAAAGGAGGAGCTAATTAAAGGAGAGTGCTGTAATTGCCCCATCGAGAACTAAGCTACCAACCCTTGGGTCCTCAGTTGCTCCCAAGTTTCTATGGGAGCTGTCCTCACTGATCAGGTGTTAGCTTGGCTGAAGGGCTGTTCTTTTGGCAGGATGACATCGTGTTTCAGGCTGATAGTTTGCCATCACACCACCTCCCAGCTGAGTAGCTTTGCCACCCCCCCTTTTTTTTAGTGCTAAGAATAGAACCCAGTATTTTGCACATGCTAGGCAAGAGCTCTACATTGAACCACATCCTTATCTGTAATTCTGTTCCTTGAGACCATGTCTTCTTTTTCTTTTTTCTTTTCCTTATTTTTTTTGAGACTAGGATCTTACTATAGCTTTGGCTGGTCTGGAATTTACTGTGTAAACCAGGCTGGTCTCAAATTTGTGATCTTCCTGCGTCCGCCTCCCGAGTGCTGGGATTAAAGGTGTTCGCCACCAGAGCCCAGCTTGTAGGTTTTCAGTACCACAACCAGCTTCCTTCTTGTCCTGCCTGGCCCTCCATAGAGTGACTGGGCCCTCAGGGTGTAGGAAATGACATGGGGAGCCACTGGGATCCCATGTGCAGGGTTACCATATGCTGAATGCCTCTGGTGTTCTTAGCTTCATGTCAGTTGGTTCAGTCAGCTCTGACTTTCCATCAATTGTTCTTGCTTCAGCTGGGGCCCTTACTGAGCTGGATCCATTCCTATGCCTACCTCACTGGGTGTACAGCCATAGTCATGTGGTCCCCAGAAGTCTCCAGCAGAAAGTACTAGTCATAGTATGTAGCCATGACTTGTGCCACTCAGCACAGTTACCAGAGCTCCTGTGTCTTCTCAGTACAGTACAGATGGCTCAAGAGAGAGCAGAGGAACCTAGGCTAGTGATTTCCATACAACCTGAAGCAGAGGACAAACCATAGCGAGGTAGAGAGTTTGTCTAGACCCATGACAAGTTGATCTTTAGATTGTAACTTCGCTAATAATGGAGAGGTTTTTTGTTTGTTTGTTTAAAGAAAGGGTGATGGATCAGAAGGCTTTTGTTAGTTTGTTATTAAGAGATAGGGTCCCTATTGCAGCCTTGCCTAACCTGGACCTTACTATGTAGACCAGACTGGCCTTGAATTCAAAGAGATCTGTGTGCCTTTGCCTCTTGGGTGATGGAATGAAAGGCATTTGCTATGACACCTAATTTTGTATTTTGTTTTTTCTTTTGTCTTTGTGGGTTTTTTATTGTTGTTGTTGCTTGTTTTGGTATATGAGACAGGGTTTCCCTGTGTAGTCCTGGCTGTCCTGGAACTCACTTTGTAGACTTGGCTTCAAACTCATAGAGTTTCACCTGCCTCTGCTTCCACTGCCAGGGCAGTGGAATGAGAAGTTGGCAAGTGTAATTTTAGAGAAGATTTAGTAGTTCATGAAGTTCAAGAGGCAATGCTATAGTATGGATGGGAGGGGCACAAATTAATGAGAAGTTGGCAAGTGTAATTTTAGAGAAGATTTAGTAGTCCATGAAGTTCAAGAGGCAATGCTATAGTATGGATGGGAGGGGCACAAATTATTCTTTGTGCCTTGGGGTGGTGGGGTAGGGTGGTTCCAGTTGAGGATTGCTTTCTCTCCAGATCTTCTCTCCCAGCAGGCCAGACAATGGAGGCAGAAGGAGGAACTGTGAGTCTCTTAATTATTTATCAGCCCAGCTGAGCTAGCTGCTGGATCCAGGCTCCTGTTGGCCTCTGGAGTCACATTCTTTATACCCTTTAGTGCCTTGTCAGGGTAGCAAGCAGAGATCTCCAGGGAGGGAGCCTGGTGCTTCCTGGAACTAATGCTCCATCCTCCTGCAAGCCCCAGCTGCCATGTGAAATGAGCTTTGGTCTGTATTCAGTAGCAGTTCCTAGTCACCTGGTTCTTCACAAAGCCTGGCTGTGGCAGCACTTGGTGTTACAGTTCAGCAAGACATTTTTATGTCATGCCAGCCACCAACTCAGCCTATAGGCAGCTTACCTTCCTACCATGCCCCAAGCATAGGTGAGAAGGTGGGGAGAGCGACATTCAGGCCCATTGTTATGCTGTATAGCTGGAGTCCATGCAGCTGGGGTTAATGGCCAGCAGTTGTCTCGAGTTAGACCCAGTCCTCACTGCAGGTATGTAGCACCTAAGATCCCTGCTCCAGCATCATGTTTTCTGCCCTTAATCCTGCCCTTACCCCTCCAAGCTGTACCTGTGCCTGGAAGGAACGTGTGGCTGGGTGCCTGACCTAGTTTCCTCTGTAACTAACATTTGATATGATGATGCCTCCTACACCTGTAGCTCCAGTGTTGCTTCCTGGTGCTGTTTGTGGGGATGGCATAGAGACATGGCTTCTCAGGCTGCCGGCTCTCAAAGCTTTGATGATGATCCCAGATTTGCACCCAGATAGCACTGCAGAACTGTGGACCAGTATTGTTTGTGACGGTGAAATATGAAGAAAACCTAGACATTTAACAGTGAGGAGCATTAAGAGGGGTCACAGCGTTCTGTGTACACAATGGTGTGGAATGAGATTGGGAGTGAGAGAGGCAGGCTAAAGCAGTTGTCCATGGTCCAATTTCAAGGTCTTCAGGTATTAAGTATGCCCATTGCTCTGTGGCAGGCTCTTCTACCAAAGGAAGAATAGATCCTTGCCCTCACATTTGGAACAAAGAAACAGAAGCTCGCGTCTCCCAGTAGCTCCATGCTGTTTTAGGAGAGGCTCTCTACTGTGCAA